TCTCAACCTCCTGCACAAGCTCGGGCTCCTTCCCCATCAGCGAGGTGACATTCCATGTCCCCAGGGCTAGTCTCTGTGTCCAGAGATCGGGCCGTCGGGGCCCCTGCCTTCGACTGCTGCCCAATCCACTGTGCACCGGCCCCTTACGGATCCTCCTGCAGGTGGTGGGCCCATGGGAGGATGTCCCCACATCGCTCGTTCGGGCTAATAACCAGTATTGGGCACTGGGTCCGATACGACCCTCTAGTACTTGTCCTCATTAAAATTGTCCGATGCTACAGATTGATACCAATGCTGCTTTACTCCAACATTACGTTAACCTTACACCGGTTGAGCAGGTCGTTAGGTGGTGAAGAGATTTCAGTGGGTTGGGGATATTTCAAGATAAGGAACAATGACAAAAAGATGACTGCTAGCTCTGCTTCTCTGCTCTGTGACTGAGACTGGGAGGGAGAGGCACTCATGCACACACAGAAGACAAGTAGAGACTGTAGGTGAATCCCTTATTTTATCATTCCTCGGTCCTTGGTCAACTCAGAAGTCAATCTGGTCTGCCATGATGAAACACATCCCGAAGCTCTTATTCCTGCTCTGAGGGGTAAGGAGGGTGCCTAGAGGAGCTCTAACTGAGGATATGTGAGTGTATCCTTTGCATAAGTTTGTTATAGATTGACAAGCCCCTTTATTGGAAATCAGTTTGTGACTGGATGGATAATGGTCAGAGGAAAAGATATGTCATGTCAGTTAAAACATGTTTCCTCAGTTCCTTTCTACTTGCATCTGACTTCCTTCTTCCTTGTGGGACACGAGGAAAAAATGCAAGTGAGGGAAACATGGATGCAGTTAGTGGAATTGAGATTCACCATGTATGCGAGTTAAATGGCAATACGTATTTGCAACAAAACCACCCAGTAATGGGAGAGATTACGAGATTATCAAACACCTGTTGAACAAGAAAAAAGAAAAAAACTTGCAGAAATGCAATCTTCAATCTCACCACAGTCAACTCATCTGGTTACCTGTTCACCCATTACAGTGGGTACAGAAAGTATTCAGACACCCTTAAATTTTTCACTCTTTGTTATATTGCAGCCATATGCTAAAATCATTTAAGTTCATTTTTTTCCTCATTAATGTACACACAGCACCCCATATTGACAGAAAAACACAGAATTTTTGACATTTTTGCAGATTTATTAAAAAAGAAAAACTGAAATATCACATGGTCATAAGTATTCAGACCCTTTGCTCAGTATTTAGTAGAAGC